TGACTTACATGAGAGCAGAGCTTCATGTGCTTTTATTTCCCCAACTGCAGAGTGTAGATAAATAGTTAATAGTGGTTAATTAATAAGTGGCTTTCAGTATATGAGGTGGGAGGCTGAGCTGAGGGAAGATAACAATAATGAGTTGTTTTGCTGTGTCTGGCTGACTCAACCAGCTGGATTCAGCATAGAATGGAGGGAAGTGGGAACTGAGGAAGATACGTTCTGCTTCATTTTCTCCCAGTTCCTCAGTATCTGGGTCTCACTTCCTATAGATTCTAGATTTTCCCCATTTCACTCTCTGGACAGGGTCCAAGCATGTGTGTTTCTTCCACTCTTCCATTTGCTAGTGGGATTTTTACATTTGTGCTTTCCCTGTGTCCTCCAGCTGCCCTCTGATTCCTTCCCCCGCCCTTTGGTTCAGTTTTTTCCTGCAGCCACAAGAGATGTATTTTGTGGGCATTGTTGGCGTCAGCTTCTGCATCTCAGAAAGGAGGGGTGGGTGAGTTGTGGCAGTTCCAGTCTCCTCACACCACAAGCATCTGGGAAAACTGAACTTGGCAGTTGGCATCTGTATGGGGAAGCTGCTGCTCTTGCAGTCCAACATACATGCCTCTCATTGTGTGGGCTTGTCAAAAAGGGTTCTGTATAGCTCTGTCCTAACCGATCTATTAGCCCCTGCTCCTCAAGCTTGTGAATGGTTTTAATGCTATGGATTGTTATGCCATAAAGTAAACCAGACATCCACAAAACTGGGATTAGAGGTCTTATATTTTTAGAACCTGGGGCTCTGTAAGGAGAATTTAACTCCCTCATTTGCTTTTTAAAAAAAATATAGGAGAATTTGTGGATGAGGAAATCCAGGTGGCTGGAAGAGTAAGGGTCTGCAAGGGACATGTTTTGATTCCCCCCCCCTCCTGTTAATGAGAGAAAAACACAAATGGTTGTCAGCTACAATTTTTCCATTTCCATCATTACGAAAGTATTGCTAGTATTAATAGAGAGCAGTGCACCAGGAAGAAATAGATTGCACAAGTGAAGTACAGCAATGTATTGCATAAGCCTTTCTCAGACTGGATCCATCCTGTAATTCCCCTCCATGTCAGTTGGGCATTATCAAGTTAGTTCAGCACATCTGAAAAGCACCAGGTTTAGGAATACTGTCTTGCATTAATAAAATAACATAGAGGAACCACAGCTACACATAAGGTCTGTTAGATCTCTTGTAGAAAATATCATGGTAAACACATGATAAAAGCTCTACCAGAAAAATTGCTCCCAGTCAAAGTAGACAACTCTTGTGCTGACTTTGTATAACACAGCTGCATTTAGTCATTAAAAAAACAACTGAGTTCTATCTTTACCATAGCAGAAGGTAACCTGATATCCATTTTGTTTTGGACTTCAGCTCCCATCTGCCCAAATCAACGTGACCAATTATAAAAGGTTGTGGGAGCTGTAGTATTAAACACCTGAAGGGCATAATGTTGCCTACCCTTGCTTTATTTGAAGCAACAAAAATGCTATAATACTGTGAATGATTGTGTTACTTCAGCTGATCCAAAAATAGCTATGACCCCTTTGCTGTTTTTGGATTGGCTGCTCATGGGCCAACACAGCTACCTATACCTTCCATCCAGACAATTATTTTTAGAGATCTTCCTCTTAATAATGCTATGAAGGAGAGCCAGTTCTGTGTAGTGGTTAAAGACACTGGACTAGAAACCAGGAGACTCTAAATTCTAGTCTTGCCTTAGACATGAAGCCAGCTGGGTGACTTTGGGCCAGTCCCTCTTTCTCAGTGCTACAAAGAAGGCAATGGCAAAGCACTTCTGAAAGAGTTGTCTAGAAGACTGCATGGACTTGTCCAAGCAGTTTCCAGGAGACAAGATTGACTCAAAGGTGCAGACAGACAGACGGATGGATGGACACACACACACACACACACACACACACACACAGAGCTAAGAAGAATTTTCATTGGCTATATACTTAAACATAGAATTTGCTGCTACATGAACCAGTGAAGGCCAGTAGCTTTCGAAGGAAATTAGAAGTATCAAAGATAGATTGAAATATGTAGTCTTGGGGATGGGGAATCTAACAATGTGTGGGTTGTCCTAAAAACATATAGCTGGATACTGTTGCTGGAATGGATGGACACTTGGTTCAATCCAGATGTACTCCTATGTTCTTACAGTAGAATAGATTAACTAAAAACACAAACCAGATGTTAGAGTATAATTAGGACTGACTGAGAGCCATATATTCCACTGACTTCTAAATAATAGAATTGGCCATCTACAGGTTTATAGCAGTGGCTACTTAGAACTGCTGGTTTTCTGTCTCCTTGACCAGCAGATGAACCTTGGGCACTCCCAGGTCCCCCCAGCCAGCATTGTCAGTATGGAAACAAAGCTTGGTAACATTGGGAGGAGAGTTTCACAGATTCCTACCCTAGTTTTTAAGAAGGTAAAAGCATACAATTCTGTTTCTTTTATGGCATCTAGAGAGAGCTCTGATAATGCAGCAGAGAATATTCCACTATTCCTAAACTAAAGATGAAGCACAAGAGCAAATAGCGCCTAGGGTGTGTTAGCAGCAGTTGCCTTATTCTTTACCATCCCCTTTCATTTGTATAGATTAGGAATGGTCACACTAGAGACTTGCTGTTAAATTTAAATCCTCATGTTAACAGCTCTCTCCCAGGGTGCTTGTTCCCCAGCTCCACCAGTTTGTATATCTCTATATGCACTCATACTCCTTGTGTTCTTCCGGTTACTACAGTTCCAGATTCTCTGACAAATAAAATAAATAATAAAAATAATAAATAGTAAATGCCATATTAAATGGAATATACATACCTCCATACTCATCCCCAAAACAGGCTACAGGGTAGCCAAAGGCCCATGGCCATACAATCTTAACCTCCAAGAATATCTCTGCATTTTCCATGAATAATTTGTTTCATTGTGATGGCATCATGTTCTTACTTTGATACAGTCACAGATCAGGCCAGGAGCCATTCCCCCGCCCCCTTGTATTCATACCATCTTGTATGCCTTTTTCCTTTTTCTGTTTAAGGGATTTTCTTTAGTGGTGGTGAGCGTTATGCAGTCTGTTGCCCACTGTCTGATAGCCACCATTCTACCAAACACCCTTGGTCCCTAGAAACCCATTCTAGCATGTCTCTATGCCATAAATGTAAGCCTCCTATGATATCCTTTCCTTTTCATTATTGCATCAACTTACATCAATATAAGTTCATTGTATGACAATCATGCATCTGTAAAATCAAAGGACTGGTGTCATATAGTGAGTCACCTGATCTATCATCTTCCTAATTACTGTGCTTCTCTGTTTCAAATTAAGCCCTTCCTGGCCTTAACCCTAACCCTTTCCCAAGCAATTGCTTTTAAGAACATGCATTTCCACACTTCCTGCAAGATGCTTCACATTGAAGCTAGCCTGATGGTCTGTGCAGGCAAATGCATTACAGTACTCTATTTCTTATCCTTTGATGACCTGGCAGTGTTTGGAATCAGGTTTTGCAGGACACAATGTTGGCATGGGTCAAGGAAGTGCTGGTTTAGGTCCTCAGCCACTGTATGGCCCATCGAGTTCCTATCTATCATCCTGATCTATCTGTTGTGAAATACAGTGAGGCAATGGAGAACCGTATCCCGGGTGCCTTAATCACAAAGCAACACCCTTCCCAAGTCTAGAACGTGAACTGAAGTTGCCTCAGACTACTGATCCTCCGTCGTATTTCATGGCAAAGGCCGCCCCGAGTTTGATGCCAGGTTCCTTCCCAAGCCCAGCCCTAACTGGAGAAGCGTGTAACTTTATACGTGCGCATGCAGAGCATGCGCTGAACCCGCAAGCTTCCGTAGCCTTAGACTCACCTCCACCGGCAATCCCAATCCCCACGCCGCCGCCTCCTCCTCGCAGAAGAAAGTACAGCTTCTTATCTTTGTACTCTTTGCAGAGCTTCCTCCGCCTCAGCAGCTTCGCTTTAGCACAGGGAGGGCGATCTCGGGTCGACTCGCTCTTCCTCTCGGCTGCCCGTACCTTCTGGGGGCGGTGGCGGCGCTCGCGCCTCCCACTCCGCCGTCGGCAGCGCTCTCGCGGCCGGGCGCTAGGACCCGGCGGCGGT